TCCCTGCAATCTGTTTACTGATATGAATGATTACAATCACTCTAATGATCCATCATGACCAGTGATGGGCGGAGCCTAACCCACAGACACAAGCAGCATGTGGAGGAAGAGGATTTATTAGAGAACGGTGTGAGCGGTTGAGCAGAGAGCTGGACGGGCTGATGGCAGCGGGAGGCCGGCCGGTGCGATCACTCAACACCACAGCGAGGCCGAGCCAGAGGACAGTGGTGGAGACGCCAGCGCCCGAAAGCAAACCCCGATTGTCGCTGCGACAACTACTTGCGGCTGGCTGAGGGAGGAGCCGGGGCTGATGGAGCTCAATGGAAGGCAGGTGTACCGGTGGCCAGGGAGGAGCCATGAGCGGAGCCAGGGGAGGAGCAAGGGGAGGAGCTAGGAGAGGAGACAGGGGAGGAGCTAGGGGAGGAGCCAGGGGAAGTGCCATGGGAGGAGCCAGGGGAGGGGCCAGGGGAGCAGCTAGGAGAGGAGCTAGGAGAGGAGGCAGGGGAGGAGCTAGGAGAGGAGACAGGGGAGGAGCCAGGGGAGGAGCTAGGAGAGGAGCTAGGAGAGGAGCCAGGGGAGGAGTGGCACGCCCACTTCACACACAGATAGACAAAGGGGAGAGAAACGAGGTGAGAAGGAAAAGCAGGAGCCACGGCTGAGGAACTAATGACATCCCCATCAGCCTCAGCTGTGTCCCACTTTGTGTTTAGCGGTTGAGGTGATTAGCAAATGATAGCATGCTGATGGTGAACGTTAAAGCTGCTTAGCATCAGCATGTTGACGGTCCCTAAAGCTGGGCTCAGAGGAGTTTTAAAAATCAGGTTTCGGTCAAACTTAGTTATGGAAAGATTGTGATAAACTGTTGGAAGGAAACAGGAAACTAACTGATCTCCTAAAAGCGGTAATTATATACAACGTGATACACCGGTAAGGCTCTGCTGGAGGAAAAGGGGTGCTAAAATGTGCTTTTAGTCCTTTCTGATTGTATTTGAGTCGTTTATTTCTTTGGAAAAAGGTTGTCTTTCCTTTTCACACCTTTTTTTCTACTATATTGTTTTATAAGTTTCCTTTTAAATCCGATGCCGTGGCTTTTGAAGAGTGTTATGTAAAGGTTTTAAATTTTCCCTGCCAGGTGAGGTATACATATTAGCTATTTGGCTTATCTTCTTTTGCTGTAGTGTTGCAGACAATATTTAATACTGTTTTATAATCAGCATTGAGTGTCAGGGATTTGAGTATTTACATTTAAAGATACAAATTAACAAAAAAAAAACCTGACACATTTCCATCAAAAAGCAAAACAAATCAATTAAAAGTATTTTTCACCAGAAACTCGGTTTCTGTTCATTAAATGGATGACTTGGATATTATGGGTGTAACAATGTTGTTATGAATAAATTATTCTATTCCACAGTGGCTCCAGAGTGACTGTGTTCAGTCAAATTCTGTCTCTTGAACACAAATCAAAACAGCAACGACCGTTTTTAGTGGTGAAGGTCACATCATTTCAACACAAACACAATCTACAATTCCATCATCAACTGCCATTTATTAGTATCAAACCACTGCTACAAAATTACATCAAACATGATGAAAATGGACTTGCATACGTGCTATACACAATGTAAGCTTTAAAATAATTAAAGTACATGAATCATAATATATATTTATATATATTTTATATATATAGATATACCAATGCCACTTAAAGCCATATATATCATTCCAGTGATCTAGAGCCTATAAATGTACAACTACATCCCTGGTGGCTAACAGACCTTCATACACATTTGAGTAGATATTTCAATTCCAGACTGTTTCAGCATGACGATTTGCATAAAACAAACAAATAAAAGTCTGTGTAAAAAAAAAAAAACCTTGGACGTTCCTGTTAACCTTTATGATGATGAATCTCATTTATTTTTGTAGAAAGAGGAACAGAAATCAGCATAAGTACATATATTCAATTTGGCAAACCAACGAAATGCTGCACCTCGTTCCCTTGAACTCGAGGTCACTCCCATCTAAACAAATGTAACACCGAAGACAAAGATGATGAACTGGTGCTACAAAGAACCCATTTCTTGCGTCTTTCATTGTAAAAAAACCCACAATGTGTAATCTGCCTTTTGGGGCATGAAAACAAATGAAGTTGGATTACATTTACCGCCAGTCAAACGATGACATGTTCTCATTGGCAAACCTCTTCAATCCCTCATGAAAAGTGACAATTGCCCCAGAGGTTTACGTGGGAAACGCGTTGGCACCGCGGAGAGACGTGGCTTCCATAGCTTGCTTTAAGAAACCCGGGCATTATCTCACGCTCTGCATCGTTGGCTGGCAACTTATTTTCCACTTCAGTGGAAATAATGAGAGACAGGTTGACAAATACTTGCTGCAACTTCTTTTTAAACTAGCACGTCCCCCACAGTCACCATCAGACGGATTTCAAAGAAAATGCACTCGCCCCACTCAGACATTACTCAATATTTTTTTATACTGTGTTTAGAGCTGAATTAGATGAGGCTGGACACTGGTTATAGAGAAATATATGAATTGTGTTGTTCCCTTTCTGCCGATGTTTGACAGGCGCGGCAAACAAAATCTTGCAGACTGAATGCCAGCGGTCAAGAATCACCGACACCTCGCAGTGAGCGGATCGGGGGGGTTAGACGTTGGATGGCCGTCAGCTCGGGTGTGACACAATCTCCCAGTCTAAACTGACAAAGGCACGGGAAGGGTTTCATTAACCGCAAGGTCAGGAGGAATCCCTCTCTCACAACATCCTCCGGCCCGTCTCTCTGCTCGGCGCCAAACGGCACTTTGACAGCATGCTAATCGTTTCCGTAACCTTCCCGTGCATGCCGCCTCGGTTCAGCTGCCGGATGACGCCGTTTTGACCAACTTTGCAGAGGAACTGCCAACGATCCGGCATTGATTTTGAAATTCTATGTGAAAGATTACGTGTAGAGAAAACACAGATGTTTGCATTATTTGACTTATTGGCTTTTATCGATTCGCGGCTCTTTTGGATGCCACATGTATTACATGTAATCAGCTCCCTACATCTGCTTTGCATCTGCAACACAATGGATGTTCTCCCATTGGAGCAGCAACACTCACAGCAGAATGTGCAGCTGTGTGACACCTCAACATCTGCAAAATAATTCTCGCTGTTTCTTTTAAACTCAAGTGTTTTCACTGCAGCTGGAACATTTCTGTATCGAGTACATTTTGTCAATCAGAGGGAAGATTAATCAACATTCCTTTCATATACGCACGTGCCCTTATTGAAGATGCAAAAACAACCTGATAAATAACACAATGAAGACAATTTGAACCCGGCTTACAGTCAGTATAATAGACTATAATTAATCCTCATTATTTCAATGATGACATTTAACTTATTAGTAGTTATTTTTGTTACTTCAGGGTTCAGTGATCAGAATAACTGAATGTTTAGTAAATGTTATAAAAAGTCAATTTAGTGAAAACTATTAAGCAAACAATCAGCTGAGAGACTGGAGCATTACTGCTTAAATTAAGAGTTGGTTATGATTGATGAAATTCTTCGAAGGCACATTCTGCACAGCATTTATTCCTCCACAACGCAGCTATTTAATAAATCCAAACTGAATATGACGATACCGATGTAGCAGATTAGAGGTGGACGCTTTAAAATGGACAATTGGAAAAATCAGGGTGGGGGACGTGGGCCCGAAATAATACGCACAAGGATGAATCTTTTAAATCCTCTTATCTTAAATTTAAAAAACGCCCCCCCGCTGCTGTCAGCCGGGAGCACGAGGTGAGGCAGCGATCTCTGGGTGGCGGCGTGGCCTCTTTTCCGCTCGTACATCAACACGACTTCTTCAACGGCTCTTTCACGAGGTGGGTCACACAAGCGTGGATTTCTTGCTCAAGAGCGTATTCGGGTCAGAGGACTCTTGATGGCCTCGTGCTGTTGTGGGGAAAAAAAGAAGCTAAAATCCCCCCTTCTGGTGTGGGACTGAATGTGAATGTGATTTATGTTTGTAAATATCTCCAGAATATAAATACTGGGCAGCTCACTGCAGTCAGTGATGGAGATGCAGTGCAAATGGTGGTTAATCCGGTGGCTTGTGGCCATCTGGGCTCACAAGGATTTATGCAGTGTTTAATGGCAGAAGGGAGAGGATCAAATATGCATGATACAACAAAATGAAGATGACTCAATTACTCAGGCTACACTGTACAAACAGACAGATTTCTCCTCTCCCCCCCATGCCTCTCAAGCCTGGAGAAAAGTTTTTTTTTTTTTTTTGCCCCCAAGGGTGTAACACGCCTGAGCAGTGGCAGAATGTGGTCAAAGTACAACCACCTCCGGGGCAAACAGAAAAAAAGTCTGTCTGCTGTGTTTCGTGTGAGTGTGACACTTGCTAATCAGTATTCAGCTCGAAGTCAGTCCCCCCCCCGCCCCCAAAAAATAATGAAATCCCTGCAAAACTCCACCAACAGTTGCTCACTTTCAGTTATAATTAGCAGCTACTTTACTGTACACCTAAAATAAATTCATTTTCTTATCGTTATGAATGAGCAGAATCGGTATTTAGTGTTGATCGTGATTAAAGTCTGAAATATATTATTTATATTCCTGTCTTGCTAGGCTCGAAGCTATATTGTGGCAGCGGTATTACTGCGTTCAAGGTTCTCCACTGGAATTTGATCATTTATGGATCAAAGGACTTCATAAAGACATCATCCATGTCTTTTAAAAAAGTTAAATGGGACACAGTGGTGGTATTTTTGTGAACTACAGACGTTAACAGGCAACATTTCATGTTATAGATACGTTAACCAAAATGCAAAGCTTGCTAACAGTTCTGGCCTTTAGAGGGGGGGGTGGGGGGGGGGGTTGTTGAATGGAGACTGTATGGGATGGTTTACTTTTTTTGAAGTATTGATGATATTTTAGGTGATTAGAAACAACCCCTTTGAGTGTCCATAAACTCAGATGAGGGTTTATATTGTAACATGAAGACTTTTATTGCAAATAATAATGATTCAATAAAAGGGTCTTGTTAATAACATTATTCAAAAATAATCAACATCCAGTACATTTCATAAGTATGAATACTAGCATGTTCTTGACTGCTTAAGAAAAGCAACCAACAAACTCCACCATGTGCCACAATAATCAATATGACTCTGAAAAGCGGTTGATTTTTCAACAGAAGTTGATTCAAATAAATCACAAACAAACACAGCCGGCTCGTCTCTAACAGGTATGCGTTTTTAGACCAGGTTTGAGAACCAAATGTTTTGGAAAAAAAACTGCTTCCATTCATAAAAAGTATGAATATATGTAAAATGGCCACCTTAAAACCACAGGTTAACTTCGACATGCAGCACAACCATACTTTCTGCACATCGTCAAATACGCAAGTGTGTGAAAACTATGACTACACACTGGCTCTAAAGATCAAAAGGTATCCTATGTTCTCCAAATATACACACATTGATTCTGTTCTATAATACTGTTACTCTCTGTTTCAAAAAGTAGGTAATTTGATTGCAAACATTGTTCTTTTTAATGTACTCGTCTGACAAAAAATCAACAACAGTGATGGCATCTAAATGAACCCGACAACATTATAAACTATGCCATACTGTACCTCATTCAAATAATGTCACATATCCAGTTTTACACGTTTCAAATGTAATTTTTTATACATTGTTTTCATAAAGGAAGAGAATAAATATACTTCTGACCCATTTTCATTATACCGTAACATTTAAACAAGATCATATGGTGCAGTATTTTCAGAATTTGTAAAACAAGCTGATAACAATTTCAAAATAAGAAATGTTTAGCAGACATTAAAACAAATCACCACAAAACGTAAAAGTAATAACAGTGTTTGTGCTTTAAGTCTTTTAACTGCGATGGCTATTTCTCTATGGGTTTGCAGTTACAAGTTTTGTGTGAAAATACTGCGTGAACTGTTATTCCCTCGATCGCGCGGGGGAAAATATAACACAATCCAAGTCCAAACTAGACGCTGCAAACATGTCAACCTGTACGACAAATACTGCATTTTATCAGATGCAACTGGCTTATTCGAAAATACCTGCAGGAGCTGTGAGTTGATAATTTAGTTTAGTTTCGTGAGTATGATGCCTAATTAGAAACTGGTTCTCAAACATTCAATAAGGAGTACGGTATCTTATTGAGAGCTTCAGGAGGTGTCCTTCTAAAATGAGGTTCATTTGATGTCTATGGTGCTATTAAGGCATTGCAGTACAGTATCTGTCGACACCATGGATTGAAGATACTTGAGGATGAATATGCCGTGTCATAAAGCAAACCTTTACGATAACATTTAGCCTTCACATGGTTGATTTCAGTGAACGAAAAAGCCGTATTTTCTCATGTTACACAACCTCATGGTTTAATTTATTCTCTGCTGGACATTCGCAGAGTTTGTGGATACCGATCAGCTGTCTGAATATAAAAGGACTTTCATCTTGGGGGAGCTGTTAGCACCGTAGGCGTAGAGATGAGCATGTTCATAAGCTTCATTTGTATTCTGTGGTTTGTAATTGAAATGAGTAGGACTCAAGTTAGACGCAAAGCATTTTTCCCTTATTTTTCAGTTTATGTCAAAGAACGTCTGGCTCTCTGGTTTCCCTTAACTTGCAATGACGTGAATATATGTACGGTAAAAGACTGTAATGTATTGAATCATTCGTCCAAAGAGGAGGCAGAGGAATATAGTACCGCGCTGCTTTCCCAGAGTCTGTTATTTAAGTATTGAGCCAAAAAAGTTGAAGCTTTAAGCGTCCAGCAGGGCGCCGCTGAGGGGTTTCAGCCAGCTGACGATCAGGAGGCGAAGTGCTCTGCTCAGACGCCCACCGTCAATTGTTGCAAGAAAGCTCGCAACAATTGAACTTGGGGCTCCACTTTTTCTTCTCAACTATAACAGAGTGTTGTGACATTCACGAACGTGGACTCTCCGGAAGAAAACGGTGTGGCGTATATATATATATATTTATATACTGTAGTATTCATATTTTGGAGAAAAATGTAAACATAGGGCAGCGATGTTCCTCCCTTCGTTTTATACAAAGTCATGAACTGTGTTAATGTTCTTGGTCAAATGAGAAAAGCTGGTCCCACTTTAAAACAAAAGCCTACACTATATTAAAATATAAAGATACAATACAGTATACTTTGCTACTTTGACGGCTGCCAGATCCAATCTGTTAGGCAGGCATAGTAACTGAAGGATCCATTTCAGAATACAACAAAGCACACCTTCAACACTGTTCATCCATCTATTGAGTAATCATGACAATACAGTTCCTGAAAACACTCTTCCATTATAATTCTTTTGATTTTTTTTTTCTCCATTTTTTTTCCTCTATTTTTTAAGCACACTCCATAAACTGAATTTGTATTGTTAGGAATCTAAATGTATTTCCTTTGTTCAACAACCCATAATACATTCAACACAACATTGGTATGTTAATTCTGTGTACTGAGAGGCTTGGCACAATTGCTTCTTTTTAGCCATGTACAAAAATGGATGGAAATGTCAATTTTGTGCCATCGCCTCACAAAGAGAGAAAGGCATGAAAGTAATTCATTTGGGAAGTTGGGGGGGGGGGGGGGGGGTGATATGATTGAAGGTGGGTTTGAGAGGGAAGTGAGGGGAGAAGGGGAGCACTGATTCACAAGGTGGTCCATCAATCAGAAAAGAAGAGAGGAAATAATAATAATTATAATAACAATAAAAAAACATCATAGTATTTACATAACATAAATTTAAAGAGCAACAAAAAATCAAAGGAAGAAAAGTCCCCCACACCAAGTAACACTGATTATTTCCCCCCCCCGTCACGGCGTCTCAACAAACTGTACCGGATTGGATTCCAGCCCTCAGCAATGTCCAAAAGGATTCCTAAATGCTCTCGACAGTCATTGTGTCCGGACCCTCTGCTAGTACACGCTGATGAAGGCGGAGAGGGCCAGGATCAGGTACCGGCAGGCCAGCGGGACGTGCGCTCTTCCTGTGCTCCCATAGGGTGCAGTGTTGGGTGCTGTGGGCGGGAAACAAGAGAAGCGCTGATTAGTCCCGATTGCATGAGTCACCATTTGATAGAAAACGTTGGAGGGAAAAAGCACCATGTTATGTTAAGAAAACGCAATGGAGGAGACGTCTGAAGCGGCATTAAATGACATAAATAAGCAAAGTCCAGTGCTTGATAATAATTAAAAAAAGAAATAATTCTGACCGATGGCAGAAGCTCACTACCTGATTATTAAATAACAAGATTAGAGTCTTGCACGCAGCGGCGCTGTGGTCAAAGTGCCTCACAAACGGTCCGAAAACGGCAAAATAACAGTAATGAGATAATTACTGATGAGCAGGTCCACTCATCATTCATCATTCAGCACCAGCTGCAGCGCAGACAAGTCCCCAGTTCCCCAGCGTGGAGGAGTTAAGAGGCCACGATGCTTCATGCATTGCTGTGGACACATTTTGTAGGTCAGCTGCTCGCCGGGTCTGTTCTGTCAGAGTGTATCACAGACAGAAAGCGTTTATGTTACTGTACGAACGGGGGGAGCGTAGCCAAGGGGAGCGCGTGTTACCTGCCGCCTGCTGAATAAGGCTCACTTAAGGTGGATGCACCACAGAGGTCTGCGCAACTTTTTTTTTTTAATAGCATTAATTAACTGAGTGGTAATCAGTCAAAATACTTATTGTTGGTTAACGGTTAAATAGTGAATACCCCAGAACACCGTGGTGTCCAAACCCTTCTCCGGGTTTCCTTTAAGTGGTACGAAAAAAGAAAAAAAGCCATCAGCAGAGAGAGAAGAATAAATGAGGCGGACAGTCCTGTCTGAGGCTGCTGTGTTTTGGGCTGTTTGTGTTTCTCTGACCGGTAGACAGCCACAGAAATATAAACAGGTGGAGGGGCTACTAGGGCCTCTTTCAGTTTGTAGCTTAATAAAGCACAACTCACTGTTCACAAAACATGCTCTACCTCAGCACACACACACACACACACACACAACTGCATGCACGGGTCACATGCATGTCTGCGCAAGAACACGTGCACATGTGTACACACACACACACACACACACACACACACACACACACAGGAGCAGTGCAAACAGCCTGTGCTCTACCAGGGGAAATCATGTGGTGAACAGCCCATATCAGCAGGGTGCCTCTCTTTACACAGTCACATAATTAGTTCACAATGTAACTCCTCTGATGTGGACCTCGCGTTGCACAAACACACACAGGGCGAACAACAAAAATAACCACGTACACAAACTGTTCGTTAAAGTCTTTTTCTCGTATTTTCTGGAGGAAAAGAGGCGACTCGGAGTTACATGCTGGCGGATTGGCGGGTGTTTAGTCAGTAAGGTGGCGGTCGTTAGAGCGGTGTACTGTACGGCTGTTGGTGTGTTAAAATAAATACAATCATGCAGTGATTGATCCCAACATAATAGCTGGCGGGAGATGATTTTCACAGGGGGGGCCGGGAGGGGGACACTCACACACACATATGCCATTATCACCTGACACAGCAGCGCTTTCACCTGACATTTTCAAGCACCGTGTTGCTACCAAAGTTGTTTACCTATTAGAGTGAAAACTACTGATGGAAAAGCGTAAAAAAATGGCAAATAGAGGAGCACCAACGGGTGAGGCGGCGGGTGTTGGCTGCACGGCCCGGCCTGTGTGAACTGCGGCTCGCTCTTCTTCCTCCTTGTCTCTGCCTTTCTATCATTGTCTCCCCTTTCTACCTCACTCACTCTCTCTGTGTCCCTCCCCTCTCTCGCTCTCGCTCTCTCTCGTCCTCTCCAAAGTACAGGATAATGACACAGTTTTCCTGGGCTGTGAGAGCGAGCCGAGAGATGGTAACCATAGCAACTGCTCCTGTCCTGCTCTGCTGGCCCACAGTTGCCGGAGCTTTAAGCGCGCTGCATTGTCCTAGCCGCGGTAGCAAAATTCATTTAGGTTGTGTGCGTGTCGATGGGTGGGGAAAGGCAGATGCCACTATTTCCCTTCTACAGTTTCCATAGTTGTTTCTCAACAATCCTGCAGGGATCATGTTGATATCTGGAACACAACTGGTTTTCATGCAGGAGTTCAGGAGGTTATTGGATCTCTGCTGTGAATTGTTGACTTTGATGGAGATTGTCACGATAAACTCTTTGGTCCTTCAAGAGGGGGAGTCTTGAAGAGGACATATTTTCAAAAGTCCACTGTTTAGTACTAATAAAACAAGTGGGAGTCTTGGCCCTCCCTCCACCCACCCCCTTAGCAGACGGACCTGGCTGACCGGGGGGTGGGGGGGGGACCCGACTCTGGTTCAAAGCGATATGGCTGTAGAGTGTATCCGACACGCAGTGATGTGCAGAGACTTTCATTCCCTTTGGGAAAATACACAAATTCTGTTGACAATACAAATAAATGGAAATATTGGAATCATACAATAATGAAATTTCTATTACAGATCAGTGGACAAAAATGGATTGATTCATTCTTAATCAGTTGTTCTTTACATTTCATGAAGACACAGGGGAGGCATGCCACGCATGTCATGCGTTTGGAGGGGACAGGAGGGAGCAGACAGGGTGGAAGTGTGGTAGAAGGGCAGAAAATGGCTCCTTTAAGTGGGATTGGGGGAGAGTCTGTGTAACTGGGTTCCTGCCTCTTCACAGTGTTTGATTTTGGGCTTGTTTAATATCTCCCTGTGTCGCCGTGAAAAGCAGCGGCCTCCATTGTTTTGACTGTGTGGGTTGTAACTTGGCATTTTAATTAACTCCCCAAACAGTAACTGGCTGCAACACCATTACCCGGCTTATTAACATGAAGGAAATAGAAAGAAGCGAGCGCAAATTAAAGACAGATACAGGGAGGGGGGAGTGGGGGTGGGGGGGAGAAGGGGGGAATCAAAAGGAAGACAGACCTGGGAAAAGCAGACGGTGATTGAAATGGCTGTAAGAGCGGAGCTGCAGCAGTGGACAGCAGAGCGAGGAAGAGGAGGGCGCTCTATCTCTTTTGGGTTTGAAATTAATTGCCATGTACATCAGCACCGAGTTGCAATGAAGTACCAGAATCCCAGACAATATATCACAGAGAAACCAACAGTGTCAAGATGCGCAAACGCCAGAAAGACGAGCGGCGCTCCGAAGGGAGCGGAGTAGAGGAGATAAGTGGAGATGAAAGCGATACGCTTCAATTACTGTTTTGCAACTGAATTTAAATGAAAAACTAAAGCCTCCCCAGCTCCAGCCAGAGCCATATGAAAATAACAATCCTTGGTTCTCTCTTCGGATTCTGGCCTGAAGCCATCCGCTTTAAATAGTCTGCACAGAGAATGAGCCCCCCCCCTCTCTCTGGCGTCCTTCCCCCCCCCACTTCACACCCAAATCTCCATCGGCAGCAGTTTTGTCACCCACATATCATATGCACAACAAATGCTCAGGCCCTGAACCGCGGCCACTGTTGACACAGATGATGAATCATACTGAAATATGCAACAGTGACAGTCAATGCTGGGTGTGTTTTGAGCACCATCTCGAGTGCGTCGCACTGTACCGTAACTCACTGGAACATCTATTCAGCAACAGCGTGAGCTGCGTTCGCTGCCTCGCCTGAACCCTTCGGCTGTGTCACACGCACTCAGGTTTAAGTCAGGTTTGAGCTCCACTCACAGATCCTCGATCTCGGGTTTTGCCTGTGTTCATTGTACCACCTGGAAGCACAGAAAGGAGAGGAGAGGAGAGGAGAGGAGAATCCGCTGTGTTTTCGAGTTGGGTTGAGACTCTTAAGTCGCTTGTTTGTTGTTTAGCGGATGACGCCTCCCTTGAGTTGGTGGTCTTCTGTCACGAGGGGCGTCCAGCCCGGCAGCATCCCGATTCCCCGGGGGGACGAGGCTTCAGAGATGGAGCTGGGAAGCAGGGGAGGGGTGCAGTGTCCTTCACCATCAATCAGTGGCCTTAGGTCCAACCCCCCCACACACACACACACTGCCTCCAACTCCCCCAGGAGAGGCCACATGAGACACTCCAGAGCCAGGACTGATCCTGTGCACACCGAGCTGTAAATCGAGCTAAATCGCTCTACATGCAAAGGTCCACAGCAACCACCGAGGGCACAAACTAAAAGCAGCCTTTATTTATTTATTTCTCAGGTGGAACGGCGCCGGTGTTCGCTAAAGAGTATAAATGGAATGTCATACCACGCTCGTGACATTTGATGAGGGGGATCCGCGCCTTCAAAGAATGCGCCGCGCTCCGCCGTCTCTCCAATGCTCGCACGGCGAGGGCGCGCGGGCGTTTTTATAGAAGGCGATAAAGAGATTTTCCATGCTTTACCTCACTTCAATCCACTGACAGTGAAATACGCTCATCCCCATCCGCCGCTCGTCTCGTAACCTCTTGCCTGTAGCAGGCTGCCATATTGACTTGCTGCACAATTGACTTGCCGACCCATCAGCTCGCTCATCCATTTCTCTCTCTCTCTCTATTCCTACCGTCCTCGTCCAGGCAAAATGTCCATCATGAGCAGATATGATGTTTCGAAACTCATCACCTTTCCGTCTCCCCCTCTGATCATCACATAGCGCCGCTCCACAGAGTCCTCGTTCACACGGACCTCCGAGCTCATTAGCCCCCCCCAATCATTTGCATTAGTGCCCGTAATGAAAAGCCTCCATTAATAAGACGGCCTTCAGAGATCATTTACCGTCCTCCGCCTCCCAGCCCTGCTATAGCCTCCCCTCCCCGCCCCCCTACACCTCCTTTGCTCCACATCCTGGTACCTGTCGGTTATCAACACCCGGCAGAATGCTTTTTTCGAAAGGCTTGAGCTGGGCATCTAATAACTCCTCTCAACAAGTGTATCTCACTGGAGAGGGAATGCGTTGGAGGGACGGGTCACCTGATAGCTTGCTGAGTGAGCTGAGGGCTCTCGATTGCAGGCGGGCTTTGGCCTTCAGCTTGACTTAATCAACGCCTCAGTGGGATATCTGGACACATAAGAGAGCCCTCAGCGCAGTGGGAGCTCGGGGAA